GCGGGCAGTCGATCACGGAGCTCAGGTTGAGGTGGAAGAAAATGGCGAGCAGAAGAGCCAAAACCCAAGAAAAGCGGCCATGGAGCGGCCCCAGGAACTCCATTCTGCCCGGGACCGATGTAAAACGGGTCCAGATCTGCTCAAAATCTGCTCAAAATGTGCTCAAAATGTGCTCAAAATCTGCTCAAAATCTGTTCAAGATCTGTTCAAGATCTGCTCCAAATCTGCTCAAAATCTGCTCCAAATCTGCTCAAAATCTGCTCAAAATCTGCTCAAAATCTGCTCAAGATCTGCTCAAGATCTTCTCAAAATCTGCTTAAAATCTGCTCAAGATCTGCTCAAAATCTGTTCAAGATCTGTTCAAGATCTGCTCCAAATCTGCTCAAAATCTGCTCCAAATCTGCTCAAAATCTGCTCAAAATCTGCTCTTTTGCGGCGTCCACATCTCGTTTTCTCTCAATCGAGTCCAAATGTTAGGATTAGAAAACGTTCCCTGCGTTGGAGGGTCCCAATAGCGTTCCTCTGCTCCTTAAAAAAGAGAAGAAGAAGAAGAAAGGACCGGAGGGGAAACCCGTGGGAAAACTTCAGGATTTGGGGAAATAAGGGTCTGAGCGCGTGCCGGTCCTGAGTTCCTCTCCTTCTCTCATCATCTTTTCATGTCATCCGTTCTCCATCCATCTGTCCCCCTCCCTCCCTCCCTCCCTCCCTCCATCCCTCCCTCCATCCCTCCCTCTCCTGATGGAGCAGGTTCCTTAACTCTGACGCAGATTCACTCTAAAAAGAAAATAGTTGATCCAACTTAATTGAATTGCTATTGCAATTGGTAACAAGTAATTTAATTAATTTTATCCAACCTAATTTATTAAGTTTGGTTAACTTGACAAATTTAAGTCAGTCTTAATCAATTCATTTACTTTATTCCAAATAAAAAAAAAATTAAATCCATTTTACTTAATTTTATAGAAAGTCAACTCAAAATTTTAAGTTGTTCCAACTTGAAAAAACTAAACTACCCCAAATTAAATGAATAAAGTTGACTTATCTCCGGTAAAAAGCGCTCAGGAGCAAACGGTGGAGAGTTTTTTTACACCGAAATCCGTCATCTTTTGGGTCCAAATTCATTCTCTGATAACACCAATGACAAAAGAGTTAAATACTCAACACCAGTGTCAAATTATTACACTTTAAGGATATAAATCAGCCATTATCATTCGTTTCTTTCCAACTATGTACCTCATAAATTCATCACTAAAATAGATCAGCTCTGGTTTTAAAGAGTTTATCTTTCACCCTTGTCAAAAAGGGGTTTAAAGCTATATGATGCTTTAAAATCCAACAATGTTCTTTTTGTCATGTTTTGAAACGAATTAGAAACATTAACCCTCACTTTAAAGATAATTTTACACATAAAGGAGCAGCCAACAAGGAAAATCTGAGTAGATTTGATTAGCTAAAACTGCATGCGTTTTACTGGAGAGGCTTTAATGTGTGGAACCAAAATGGCTGCAGCTCAATCTGAAAATGAAAAAGAATTTAAACTGGGACAAAAATGGACTGAAACTGAACAATGTTTCACTGAAACTGTAAAAACAAAATTGTAAATGCACTTTGCTGATCCTCTTTTTTTAAATGGTGGAGAAAAAAAATCTACAAAAATGGAGCTATAGGTAATTATGACACAACAGTAAACAAGTACTTTTTTCCTCATTTTAAACTTGTTTTTTTGTTGAATTCTCCATGATTTGCTTTTGAATTGTGCATTTGCATTCAGGACTTGATAAAAAGGAGGTTTCTTACTCTTGAAGGGGTCAATAGTGCCTTTTAAAATTCCCCTAAAGGGCATAATTTCCCTAAAAATTAGACAAAATACCAGCTACAAAGTGCAAATCTGGGGAGGACTTAAAGGAAACATTAAACCTGGTCGTTGCAAACAAAGGTTAAGTTACTGACTTATGCAAGTACTGAGTTTAACTTTTGTTATTGACTAAATACTTATTTTGCACCATAATACAGTACATTTTTAAATATCTTATAACATAATTTCCTGGATTGTTTTAATCTTATTTTGCCTCTCATAGTTGACCTCCCTCATCTCTCTAAGAATGGGAACTGGTATTGAAATGTACCGGTTGTGTGTTTGGAAATCAAGATTTTTAACTCATTCTTCTTATTTTATCTTATATTTACTTTTCTTAATCACCACAGGATTCAGATGCAATGGCCGACATCACCCAGGTTCCAAATACTCATATTTCTAAGAAATGTGAACACAAACATAATCAAATCACATGATTTCAAATCAAATATAAACCCAAAGTTATTTACTGCTGCTTGGGCACTGAAGCGTGTTTTGGGTTTAAATGACGGGAAGCACTATGATGATAAGAAAAGGCTTATCAGGCCTGTAATCAGGAGGAGTTTCAAAATGAAATGTCCCTGTAACAGTCCAGTATTTTTCTCCATTCTGTGCTTGTTAGTTGTTCTCTGCTGAAAGTGAGCCGTCTTAATATAAAGGGCCTGATTGGTTAAGATGCGTGATGATGCCAA